AAACCTTTTACAGGGTCACTATGTGTTGGAACAGGCTAGGCGGCATTTAACAAGAGCCTATTGAAAGCATTTGACTACATTTTGTCAAAGTTGGCATAGGCCACTATGAATCCAGAAGTAATTATGCATTCCTCCTAGAATGCAAGGTACCTCCACCAAACACCCTTTCTAGGATTTCTCCACAGGAATGGCATGATCTCTTAATGCCCCCGCCTCTCAATTTCTAACGAGCTCTGCCTCCTCTGCCGCATTGGCACTCGCATCCCATTTCACTCCATTCTTGATATTTATCAGTCCCTTTCTCTCATTCTCCAGAACCTCCTATTTCATTCAGACCTTCACTTCTTAAAAAAAATATTTTATCTGTTGTTGAGAATATACACAGAACAACATACACCAATCCAAAAGCATTCAGTGACAATTGATTATATTTTTCAAGATGTACAACCATTCTTATCCTCCTTTTCTGAGTTGTTAGGTGCCTTCGAGACAGTTCTGACTCATAGTGACCCTAGGCACAACAGAACAAGACACTGGTCAGTCCTGGGCCAACCTCACAATCATTGCTACGTTTGAGCCCACTGATGTTGCCACTGTGCCAAAATCCATCTCATTGGGGGTCTTCCTCTTTTTCTCCGACCCTCCACTTTACCATATATGATATCCTTCTCCAGTGACTGGTCCCTCCTGACAATACGTCCCAAGTATGAAAGACAGAGTCTGGCTATCCTGGCTTCCAAGGAGCACTCTGGTTATAATTCTTCCAACACAGTTCTGTTTGCTCTTTTGGTAGTCCGTGGTACTTTCAGTATTCGCCTCCAACGCCATAACTGAAATGCATCAATTCTTCAACGGTCTACCTTATTTACTGTCCAACTTTCACATGTATATGAGGTTATTAAAAATACCAGGGCTTGGGTCAGGCGCACCTTAATCCTCAGACTAACATCTTTGCTCTTTAACACTTTAAAAAAGATCTTGTGCAACAGATTTGCCTAAATCCAAGTTACTCCTCCCATTAACACTTTTTCTGAGTTGTTAACTCCCCATTAACATAAATTCATGTAAGTTTCTTATCCAACCTTTCAAGTTGTGAATGTCCATTTGGTCTCAAACAAAATAGATCTCAAAGGCTCAAGACAGACATTACTAGTTAAGCTAAGCTATTGTTTGGTTTTTAACAAGACTTCTGGGGATATTTTTGATTTAAGTTTAAAGATTATCTCAGGGCAAGAGTTTCAGGGGTCCCACTAACCTCTGTGACTCCAGAGCCTGGCGTCCATGAAACTTTTAGATTCTTTCTTCACTTTCCCCCTTTTGATCAGGATTCTTCTTTAGAATCTTTGATCAAAATGCTCAGTTAACGGTAGCTGGGCATCAAAGAATTCTTCTGGCCTCATGGCAAAGGAGGCAGCTAGCCACACATTCCAATTCCTCCTCCTGAGTTTCCTTCTTCTTCTGTTGCTCCAGGTGAATTGAGACCACCTGTCATGCTAGGACTCAATTCCTTTTCCACCTTTCATGAGCCTATAGAACACAGCAGTGCCCTCAAAGAAACGAGTGAAATGCAACAGGGAAAACGTCTTTGGTCTTTGGCAACAAATTGAATGGTGGAGTGGATAAAAAGTCAAACTATAGCAGGATAGGAAAGATGCTGAAGTTTTTGGGTTAAGAGGCAGAAGGCAAAAATTGGTGATGTTGCTGTCTGCCGCCAGGCCAGTTCTGATTTACAGCGATTCTGTAAACGGTTTCCAAGGCTATAAATCTTTATGTGAGCGGAAAGCCTCAGTTTTCTCCCTTGGAGTGGCTGGTGGATTTGAACTGCTGACCTTGCAGTAATCAGCCTAATGGGTAGCCTACTACGTCACCAACATTCCATAACTCTTACACTCACTGGCCTATTCAATGAGAAGATAGCTCCTCCAAGCCTCCTTCCCTCCCTCTTCAGCACCAAAAAGCCGCAGGTCTTGACTCACAGTGAGACTGGAAGAAAGTTCTCTAAGGAAACTCAGTTACCTCTACCCTCACCTCATTGCCACTGTGTCACAGCGCCGCCTAGAGGCTGTACATCTTTGTGGGAACAGGAAGCCTCCTTTCTCCTCACCTCATTGCTACTGTGTCACAGCGCCGCCTAGAGGCTGTACATCTTTGTGGGAACAGGAAGCCTCCTTTCTCCTGCACAGCAGGGGTTTGAACTAATGAGCTTTGGTTAGCGGTCCCTTGCCACCAGGGCTCCCACTGTCCTCTACAGGGTGCTATAACACAAGGGATGGCAAAAGAACATGGACCCTTGAAAACTAAACAAGTGGCGGCTGAAATTGCTTTGTTTTTTAAAGGGGGAAATGGTTAATGAGAACTCTCAGGAAGTAAAACATTGAAAGAATTTACTGTTAGTTGCTGTTGTGCTGATTCCAGAGTACGGTGACCCCGTGTGTGCAGACCTGTGTTAAAACCTGATCCAAAGGGTTTTCAAAGCCGACGTTTTAGACGCAGATCTCCAGGTCTTTCTTTTGCAGCACACTTGGAAAAGGCTTGAAGTGCTAACTATGAAGAAAAGGCCTGTTGGTCAGTGCTTAACCATCTGCTGCACCCACTCAGCCCTGCTCCCCCATCTAAGTAAGAGATTAGTTCAGAACAGAGTGTCAACAAACAGCGGCTCCATGGCTGCAGTGAATGTGACCCAGTGGAGCAAGTGGAGTCCCTGACACAGGGGTCATGAGAAGGGTCAAGTCTGAGCTCAGTCTAGCATTCCAGGGGCTTCACCCTTTCCACTGGTGTAGACCCCTTCATCCCACACCACTCAGTGCTGACAACCTTACCGCTGCCATCTGAAATGATTTCTGGCTCTCACTTCTTTCATGATTTGATTTGATTTTCACCCTTTTCTAGCTTAGGGGCAACATTTCAGAACTCATCTCTAAAGATTTTTTAACATCACATTGTGGTTGCGTTGTTCTAAATCTTCTCAAATTGTTCCTTGTAGGTGCTATAGGGAGCGCAGTGGCTCTACAGGGTAACACACTGGACTTTGAAGCAAAGGTTGGCGGTTTGAGCCCAATAGTCACTCCAAGAAAGATGAGGCTTTCTGCTTCCGCAAAGATTTACAGCTGTGGAAACCCTATATGGGTTTGCTAAGAGTCATACCTGACTCGATGGCACTTAACAACAACAAAGGGGATATAACTCGATAGATTAGATGCTTGATAAACGCTTAGCAGCGGTGTTCTCACGTTCTGTGTCAGAACAGAAGTGATGAATACAATGATAAATAGGACAGTCACCACCCTCCAGGAAAGGAAAAGGACAAGCAAACAGAAATATAGAAAGCACTGGATCACAAGAGCTCTATGGGCTGGTCGGCAATGTTTCCACTGGAGTGAGGGCTAAACTAGGAAGGTGCTCATTAGACACAGGATTCTTTCTCAGTCCTGCCAACCTATGTTTTTATTGTATGTGTAGACCTTGAGAAATTCTGAAGGATTTATAAAGCGTCTATAAATATTTCAATATTGCTGGTATTATGTTGTTAATGCCACCTAGTTGGTTCTGACTCCTGTGTAAGATTTCCAAGGCTGTGAACCTTTATGGGAGCAGAAAGCCTCCTCTTTCTTCCTCAGAGGGGCTGGTGGGTTTGAACTGCCGATCTTGCAGTTAGCAGTCAGTCCAGTGCTTATCCTATGGCGCCACACCAGGACTCCGGAAGATTTCAACCGACATTATAAACATACCATACAAGCCATTTATTACGGTTAAGTGTACAACAGGTACCAAAATGAAATCTAGCTAAACCAGAACTGGTCTTTGGACTATATGTTATGGAAACCATTTAAAAATGATTCTGTAACATCACATTTTTAAAACTAAAAAAATCCAAACTACTATGAATTTTAGAGTCAAGGAAGAAAAATCACACAGTTTTAAGACAAATCAGAAAATTCTGGTCTCATTACTAAAAATGCAAAGTCATGATTAAATATAAAATTAGTTTCCCTCAAAATACATGTAAAATTAATTAGAAATCTATCAAAGGCTGTCTTTGGACATTCAGAAGCAAAGCTTAATTATGAGGTTTTAAAAATCCTCACTATGATTAAAGATCTTATCTCCTTTATTAAAGTAAGGATGGATCTATGTAAGTTGGTTTCTCTTTCCGGTGACCCTTAAGGAATAAGCTATTTGGGTTATCAGAGAACTCTTTAAGATGCTGCTTCTTAAAAATGCTTCTATTAAAGAAGAATTAATGTATATCCACAAAAGGATTTGCTTATTCAGTGGCATTTTCTGAATCACCATTTCTTGGTAGCAGAATTTGAAAACTGTGCCTTATGAAAGAGAGAATTTATATATTAAGGGATTCTAGGGCCCTGATTGTTTCAACCTCTACCCTAAACATTTGTACAAACCTACTCTATAATAGATCCACGGTTATTTTCAACAAAAAGGTTTCTACCCCACAAAAGTAAGTTAGTGGCAGTGCAGAGAGACATTTATCCTGCAGAGCAGCCAGCAGCCTGAGAGCAGCAGACCCCGGGGGGCTGGCCCTCTGCCCAGCATGCCCCGGAACCGTTGTCACACTTCAGAAGCACTGACTCAGGGGCTGCTTCCCGGTGCCTATGTGTGCCAACAGCAGAGCAGTCTTGAAAATTACGTGAATAAAGTTTTTATTTTTTGCCATAATCCAATTCTAATTTGTTACAGTAATCAAACAGGGCATTTTTATTTTCAACTGCATTCAATTGACAAAAAGTTCTCCCACATCATACCAAAGCATTCAAGTTTTATTTCCAATGCTCAAGTAATTAACGAATAAAATCATGGTAATGAGCCTCTTCTGATTAGCTCCTTCAAATACATTGTCCAACATCAATTTCAAAGAGATTTGTCCCACAGTTTCCTACAAAGGTGCTGCCCCAGTGCTCCCCACTCAGTACAAGTGGAGGTTCCCCTGACCACACCCTGGATGGGGGAAACGCTGTTCACCTCTCCAGGCCACGGTCGCCTCTGGGGAATGTGTTTCCTTAGAATTCCTCCTCTGCCTGTTTGCTGCAGGACTGCATAAGCTGCTGCAATCGCGTGATGGTTTCCGAGACAGTTCGCTCTCCGTGGACCTTATTATCTCTCGTGCGGATGTTCACAGTGCCGCTGCTTTTCTCTTTCTCACCAACCACTGCAACGTGAGACACACCAAGCTTTGTGAGACCGAATCTAAAGATTGGAAGGATTCTTACTGAACATCTGAGCAGAAAGCAATGTGGCACTAAAAGCCACCCTGAACCTTCACTAAAATGAATAGGGAGTATAGTTGAGCAACTGTTTTGGAAATCTACTGACTTTTTAAAAATGCATACAATTTACCGAGCTGCTCTACAATGGCTGTTCGTTGAGTTACTGAATGTTGCCCAAGTAATAAAAACTAAGCGTAACTTGAAAATATAAGCAGACCAGCCTGGAGCGGCTAGAAGAACTGAAGATACTTCTTGAAAGAAAGACCAACAGGAAAAATATAAAAACAATAATAGCAGCCTGATTGACTACTATAAGAACAAGCAAGTTGTTTGCTGGGGAGCCATCAAGGCAAGCAGTTGGGTCCCTTCAGGGCAAACTCCCTTCCAAGACTGAAACTCAAAGGGAATACATGAGCAGGCATGTAATCTTGCTGGTGACCACGTTGATCTGCCAATAAGGGGAAGTGGGGAAAAAGAGCAATGAAGCTGTGGGCTAAGTCTGACCACGTTCAATAGATTCCTGCCAACCTGGATTGAGACCTAGTTGGCCAGCAGTATGGTGAGACCTGGGGACTCTTGGGCCGAGGGATAGGGAAATGGCCACAGAGGACTAGAGTGGAGAGTGAAGCGGCCAGCTGATACAAGGTGAGGGGAGATGTACAAGAACACCCATACTTGCAGATAGTACCCATCTGACCTAACTTCAATGGCTGAATAACCAGAACTCGACTAGCAGAGGGAAGAAGAAAAAAGTGTAATCAGCTGTAATTTGATGAACTTGACCTATACTTATGGATATGGTAGCTTAAAAGAGGGAATGAATCTTTACAGCGAAGATAATTCCCAACCCCTCGGTACACAGGGTTGACAGGGATGGGCAACTTAGCCATTGGCTACCCAAAATGGGGGGGCTACAAAGGGATGAAGTGACTAGCTTACAAACTTTCAAGAAGGAGCCTAGTTTCAGAGGGTACGGGGGAAGAAAAAAAAAAACTAAGTGTAAGAAGAAGCAGGTGAAGGGGAGCACACTTTTAGACAAATCTTTTAAGAGTATCTTTTTCAAACTCACATTTTCTTGTTCAGACAAACTGAAGAAACGTAACAGTTTTAAGAATCAGAATTAGAAGGAACAAAAGCTAGGGCCAGGTCTCACGATTCTCATGGGCCTCCCTGAGGTCTGTCTGGGCAGCTTTCCCTGGTGTTTCCTTCCATACCTAGAATGAAGTTATACTGTGCCAACTGTGCGTTTCTGATCTTCTTATTCAACGTACAGCCTGGATCCAGATCAACGTCCGTCATGAATTTCGCATCATGGAATTGCTGTCTTACCTAATGAAACAGAGATATCAAATTCTTCAGATCTAAATCAGAACTGCATTTTCATCTTGAATAGTTCTGCTTCATAGGCTGTTAGTTATGCTGTTAAGGGCTGTTGAGTCAGTTCCGACCCACAGTGACCCTGCATAGTTTTTCTGAGGAGTGACTGGTGAGCTTGAACTGCCAACCTTGCGGTTCAAACCAACATTGCAGTCCAGCACATTAACCCACAGCACCACACCAGGGCTCCTTACTTCATACAGGATCGGGATAATCATACAAACACTTAGAAAAGGACTGCGAAAAGTACACACTGAAGCATATATTATTGACTTTTATTATTTAAAAAATCAAAACGGCTACTGAGAGATAAATGTTTTAGAAAAAGCCTTACAAATGAGAATCTAAGTAATCACTAAATTTCCCAGTGCTCTTGCTCTGCTGTTATGTACTGATGAGCTGGTTCTGACT